AATATTGTTCCCTGGTAGCACAAGGTACGGCATTGCGAATGTTCTTACCACACTCGTAACACTGTGCTGACGTATCTTCTTCTATTCGCATTTTTTTGCCACAACAAACAAACTTATTTGGCTTACTAGGTACGAAATTGGGTTTCAAGCACTTTATACAAAAATCATAAGCAAACTCTTTACAATTTCCACACTCCATATATAGACTAACATATTTAACCAAATAGACACGGGATGCGGATAATCACGGTACGAATCGAGGAGGTTACTTTAGACGGGTAATTCTCCAGTGGTCACTGTTTTGGAACCCCATCCCCTATACTACTGATGCCGTATTCGAGTATGAGTTTACTCTAACTGGATCTATGAATCACTAGAATCATGAGTGTTGTTTGGGTTGTTTATAGTTTCTTGGCAACGAATAAACTATAASATGCCGTATTCGAGTAAGAGTTTACTCTGATTAGATCTATGAATCACTAGAATCATGAGTGTTGTTTGGATTGTTTATAGTTTCTTGGCAACGAATATCAACGAACGATGATCTTGGAATAAAAGGAGAGCCGGTGAGGTTCACTCTGTCTACTATGACGGGTGATCAAGAAAACAACGGAAGACAGCTAAGTTTAGACGTCACTGGAGTGTCAACTGAAAAGGGTGTACGAATAACGAACGTCTGGATAACCCACCGACTGCCTATCGCTGAAGAGAACCTTGTTGTCAAACAGGATATCAGTGAGATGGATCACATGAAAGACGTTGACTTGCCAGAGTTAACAGACAAGAAGATAACATTGCTAATCGGTAGTGACGTGCACGAAGCATTATGTCCTTTGGAAGTTAGAAGTGAAAAGAAGGGAGAGCCCTTTGCACTGCGAACGTTATTAGGATGGACGGTGATTGGACCAAGGGCCATAGGACACCGAATGTGGTTGGATTTCTATAGGTTTTTTTTCCTTTCGATTATTTGAATTAAATTAAACGTATATACTTGTACTTATCTTGTGTCCTCGGCCCTCAATCGGACCCGAACGCTAGTAATTCGAACCCTAAGACGTGACTACCAGATTACGGCCTCTATAACTTAACACAGTACGGCACAGTACAGGAGTTATAGATTTACGTACCACCGATCAACGACAACACGCTATTAACCCACTAAAATCCCCACTCTCATGCGACAATTTTTACTCAAAGAAACTTCCCCTTTTGTGTCATCAACTAMCATAAAGAATTTTTTTTACAATATTCCGTTATTGCAATCAAATCTTTATTTGTTTACTTACTTGCACACGTCCAGTCAACGTGAGCGTGACCTAAAAGGATGACCTACTGGTCGAATTTCCAACCTTCCTATTAATGTTTTTGAATTGTAACTGTATAGTTGGGGTAGAAAAGTTACATTCCATTTCGTAAACAGTACCCTTCCCTCTAATTGGACTCTAATATTCTAAGGAGAGTTAGTAACAATGAAAGCGAAAATGTTACTCATGCCGAAAATACTACTAATGCCGAGGTAGATCGTGTTACCC